TTTAGTTTAAAAAAATTCTCGTAGCACATAAAGGGATAAGAAATGAGATATATACATTTATTAGATAACAGATATTTTTAAAAATCAGTTCATCTGAAAGCTAGCAATTACTTTTTATTTAGAAATTGTAATTTAATCATACTTTGATTTTTAAGGTATTTAAATATAAATATTAAACAGAATGCTTTTCAGTGGCTGTGGTTCAAAACTGCTATGGAATAGAAATTAGTATTGTGACACCATTTATGTGTCCAGTTTTAAATTAAATGGTGATGAGTTTCCAGCTCTGTTAGTTTTTATTGTGGAACAAACCACCCCAAAACATAGTGGCTTAAAATAACAACCATTTATTTGGCTCGTGATTATGTAGCTTTGTTATTTGGATGGGGTTTAGCTGGGTGAGTCTTCTGCCAGTTCAGAGGGGCTTCCTCACACTGCCAGACTGGCTGGGGGCTTCTGCATCTAGAATGGCTTCAACTCTCCATGTAGTTGCAGCCTCCAGCAGATGAGTTCAGATTTGTTCACATGGTGGCAGTGGGTAGGCTAGAGCCTCTAGAGCCGAAGCTGAAGAGCTCTTGAGCCCTGGGCTTGGAAGTCTCACAGTGTAACTTTTGCCAGACTTTTGGTTAAATAAATTACTAGGCAACCCAGATTCTAAGGGTGGGAGAATAGACTCTGCTTCATGATGGGAGGGTGGTAGAAAGTATTGTGGCCAGATTGTCAGTCAGCCATATCAACTCATATTCATTTGTTCATTTTGAATACTCAGATACCAGTTTTTAACTGCCGAAACAGCATTGACTCTGTGTCTGTGTCTGTGTCTGTGTGTTTGTGTGATTCATCCTCTTTTCTCAGTATATTACCTCTGCAAAAGGAGGTATTTGAAGTAATCTCACTTTTCTGATTCATCTGTTTGGTAAAGGACATGCTTGTTTATTCAGATATTAGAGCAACTTGAAAAGAGAATGTAACATAAATACAATAAAACTACAGCTCGTTTACCTATACATTATTTGTTAAATATCTTTTAAGTGACTGTTTTGTGCCTGGCACTAGGCTAGATGTATAGGAATAGAAAAAAAGAAACATGGGTCATAGTTCTTACTTTCAAGAAGTTTATATGCTTATAGCATGAGTAAAATTTATTCCCAACGAATAATTTATTAATGTACCAAGGACTATGCTTTAATCGAAAGTAGTACATAGATGGATATGACCTAGTCCTTTTAGTGGAAATAGATATTTAAAATAACTATAATTAAAAGCATGAGAGAAATATCAAGTGAGTGCTGTTGAATTAGAAAAAGAATAGGAGGCAGCAAATGATTGAGTGCCAACATAAGTGATTCATATAATTAACACCTGAGAAGGGTGACATCTTTGAAACCAGAGAGTAATGGCTTCATATAGAAAATGAGTCTTGAACAAGACTTTGAAGAAGAGGTAGAATTTGAATAAGTGGAGAGGTAGGAATCCTACTCAATTTAGAATTGAGTTGTTTTGCCAAGAAGGTAATTATTTAATTAGAGTCTTTTCAAGTGGCAAGTATTAAAGAGCATGCGATAACATGACTAGAAAGACTCTGACTCTGTAGAAAACATTACACTGGGAAGATTGCTAGCAATGTTTTTTTCTCTTCAATGGTGCCAAGTCTTTTTTTCTTTTTTCTTTTTCTTTAAAAACAAAAAAACAAAAAAACTTTATTTAGAGATGGGGTCTTGCTGTGTTGCCCAGTCTGGTCTTGAACTCCTGGGCTCAGATGATCCTCTCATCTCCTGAGTGGCTGGGACTACAGCTGTGTACCACCGTGACTGACTTGATTTTCTGTCATCAGCTATTTGTGTACTTTAATTGGAAGATTGAGTAAAGAATTGTTATTTTATAAGGGAAACACACATTTTGTTTTTATTGAATAGTACTCTGTAGCCATATATTGATTGAAAAACAATAGAAACAAATAATGTGTATCTCTGCAGACAAAGAAGTACAACATTGAGATAAGTAAGGAAACCCCCATTGAGTAATGTCAACTGGTACTTTCTACAAGCATATCTGGGTCTGTTTAGGGACTAAACTGGTAGAAATAATTGGGGAATTTCCTTTCCTAAATTTGACAGGTAAATTTGCTTTTCACACTTTCTGTTTTAGTTGCTCGTATTTAAACTATTTTGAGAAGGAGAAGGATCAATTAAAATGTGTTTTCTTTAATGCTAATTGAATAGTACCATATTTAAACATATACCAACTTCCAAAGTGCTTGATGTAACTATATATAATTAGTAAAAGAAGAATCGTAATTTTCATTTTTGTAAATTAAATGTAGTTTTTCCCTGTTAAAACATCATTATGAATGAACCCCTTTATCTAGTTTATCATTGCCTTTCCTAAAAGCAGTGATATTTCATTAATATTGTCTAACTTAATTGCTACCATGTGATGAATTCTAGATAATTCTTTAGGGGAAACTTTCTTACTATCTCAGTTATTTTCAGTGACAAGAAATTGGGAGAGTTTATAATAGTTCTTATCATTTCATGTATTTTAATAGCTGGAATATATGTCCAGTCCAAAGAGAACACATCACAGGGTGATCACAAGTTGAAAATGAGATAACACATGAAAGTATTTTGTAAACTGCAAAGTCCTGTGCAAATAAGTGTAAGGTGATATTGTTCTGAGATTAGTATTTGTTATTTCAAGGTCTCTATAGAACAGCCATAGTTCATAGCTTAGAATCTGGAGCCACAAGTTCTGAGATCAAGTCTAGGTTCAGCCCCTTACTAGTTCTGTAATCAAGGATAAGTTTCTAAACCTCTCTATACTTCAGTTCCTCTGTCTGTTAAAATGATGTAATGATATTTACCTACTTCATAGGATTGTTATGAAGATTCAGTGAATTAGTATATGAAATTCTTTTGCAACAGTGTTTTGGCACACAGTAAATGTTATGTGTTACCTATTCTCATCATTACTGTCATTATCGCTACATCATGTAGAATAGATAATTACTTCCTGATATATGCTAATCATGTTTTTCTCTATGGAATTCTTCCTGTACTCTCCTAGTTTTGCCTTTTTCTGAAAGAGAGCTCCTTGAGGATGAGGACTAAATATCATCAATTTTTTTTTTTTTTTTTTTTTT